TCTGCTATCATGTCAAGCCTTCCTTCCTAATCGCCATGAGTCAAACTGTAAATTCAGGGAACTCCTTCCTCCCCTAAGATGTTTCTTGTTAGGTATTCAGAGAAAAGTAACTAATACAACTGCTTACAGTAAGGTGAGTGTGGGAAGAACTGACCTAAGATGTAATTACAATTATAACTAAAAGATAGCAGAGTATTAAAAATGGAGAATAAAGCAAGCAAACAAACCCCAAATGTTCTGTTAGAGCATTGGTAAGCAACCAGTTAGTACAGAGATCAGCAGGACTAGAAGAAAGCCAGATGTCATGCATCCGAGATGAAGGCATTTCAAAGGACTTTATGGTTGTCCCTCCCATCCCAACAGTATTAGAGCCTTAAAGGGCAAATTAGGCTCACTGCTCAGGGCTCGCTTGACATTTGATCCCTGGTTTTCAGCTGTGGCTCAAGTGGGTTCATGTGCAATTCCACCATCACTCAAGGGTGCCCAAGAAATAAACCTCAGCAATGTGCATGTGCTGCTCCTTCTCATTCTGCAGGTGTGCAGAATCCAAGAGCCACGGAGGTGTGGCAGCCCCCTCTTAGATTACAAATGATCTAGTGGACTGCTTGGCAGACAAGTCAGAAACCTGATGCAGGGCTGGAAATACCACAGGGAATCTCTACTAGAACAATGCCTAGGAGAATTATGGGGATACTACCTCTCCTGTTGGTATCCCCAATCCCCAAGACAGAGCATGAATAGCATAGGCCAGCATGATGGGAAAGCTGCAGACACTGCTTGCAGCTCTGACTGAAGACAGCAGCTATATAAACTGAGCCTCACAAATCCACAGAGGCAGGATTATCTGTAGCCAGAGGAATCTACCTCTTTGCTCCAATGTATTTAGAGAGTGGTACCTGAAATGAAAGTTGATATTTCAGTTTTAAGAGATGATGCCGATCTTTCTGGGCTTAGACTCAATTGGGGTCAGTTACTCCTTTCTCTTGGTTTTATTCTCCCTTCAGGAAGGGGGATATCTGCTCTATCTCTAGCCCATTATTGCCTATCAGAAGCAGATCCCTTGTTTTGATTTTATAGGTTGGAAGCTGGAAGGAAACCGCTTCAAGTCTCAAATGAGAGTTGGGACTTTTGAACCAATGTTAGAATCACTTAAGACTGGGACTAATAATATGGAACGAACACATTTTATGAATTTACAAGGACATGTATATATGTTTGAATCCTACTTCTTTAGTATAGCAAAGTCAGGAGGTGAGGCCTCGTGGGAAGTGTGTGGGGTATATGAGAAAGGCTCTTGTGAATGGACACTTGCTTTCATGGTTTTCTCCCATGAGTGAGGTCTCAATTTTGCGATGGTGGGTTGTTGTGAAGTGAAGCTCTGTCTGTGTTTTGTCTTTTGCACTTGTTCCTACTTGCCCTTTCACTTTTCACCATGAACCAAGGCAGCATGAAGCTCTTGCCACCTGGTCTAGAACTTCCCAGTATCTAGAACCATAAAACTGAAGTTCCCAGAAAATAGAACAACCATACCTGTGTTAAAGGTTCTTCCAGACCAAGTGAGTATGTCCTGATTATGGAATGTTAAAATTTTCAGACCAGAGCCAAATTACCTTAGGGTATTTTCAGTCCTCTTGAAAACTACTCATTTCCCACTCCTATGTTTGACATCTTCATGATTATTAAGACCTTTAAAATGCATTCTTAGTGGATCACTAGTTTCCACCATTTCAAAAGCTTAGAATGGCTTGGTGTAGCATATTAAACTTGTAACAGAGGTTTCCCTGCTTTGCTGCAACCCACCTTCCTCTGGTACCCACCAATGTATTTGCTAAATGCCTTGATGTATGACTTTCTTTGCTCTGAAACTAACCAAATCTAATGTAAATATTTCTATATTGGAACACATCTTTCAGGGCAACTGGAGCCTGTATTCCGGGACCATGATTTCTCATTTCTCAGATTTGGCCAGAGAAGATTTATTAGCTTAGAGATGGAAACATAAACCTTTCTTCTTTAGAATCATCTATTCGATTATAGCAGCAGGAAATTGACTAAATCTCATATCTGTGGTAGAAAATAAGATTTAGACAAACTTTCCAACCTGTGGAAAATCACTGATCAGGGATAGCATGACCACATCGATTTGATATAAACTCCAGAATTTCTGTATTTACCTCATTACAAACCAGGAATATTCAATTTATAGGTCAGTCCTTCAGATGATTCTTTAAGTATCAATGTTCTACACTTATTTTACTCTATCAACATGAGCATAGAAACACAAAAACATAAGTATTATGTGATTATTTCCAATGACAAAATATTGGAAGCAATCCAAATGTTCAGCAGTAAATGACTGGGAAATTTTTTTTAATGATACTTTTCTTAAAGGGAATGCTGTATGCTTGTTGAAAAGTATACACCTTGAGGGGCTAAAGGGATGGCTCAGTGTTCCAATCATGTGTTGCTCTTGCACAGTCTCAGGTTCAATATCCACCACTCACATACATGCTGGGAAAACACTCAAGCACACAAAATAAAAATAAATAAATTCTAAAAACTTTTAGAGCAAAACAAAATGAGAAGTGTCCTTGGTTTTTCTGTTATGGTTGAAGAAGAGGTAAAGCCTTGGCTATGCCCTGAAAACTACAAGTTGTGTCAGAGATCCTTAGTAGTATTCTAAATCTGTATTTTTCTTCCATCCTTACAACTGTGCTTGCTATATATCCTTGCAGACTTAGCAGATAATTTGATTCAATTAGGCCAATGGAAGGTGGAGAAAGACAACATGCCACGAGTGAGTTTGGAATTATGACTCTACCTTTGTAGTTTTTCTTGATTTTGATCTCTTGACACGCTGTGTGGGACATTTTGAATTGAATCTAGTTGTAGTCGTAAGTCATCATAGGTTATGCAGATGATGTTAATTCCCTAGGGAACAGTAATATAGCAAGAGCAAGGAAATTTGGGCATCCACACAGAGTAGAACCTCAATGTTAACTTCAACAGTCTTTATTGGGTCAATCAATGCTGGGTATGATGGTTAATGCTGATTGTCTACTTAAAGAATCTAGAATTGCTCAGGAGTCAGACCTCAGGAAATGTCTGTAAGAAAGTTTCTGAATTAGATTAGATTATGGTTATGCTAGATTAGGTTAATTGAGCTAAGAAGGCACATCTTAACTGAATGATACCATACCCTGGCCTGAGATTCTGGACTGAATAGAAAGAGAATGACCTGATAACAGCATGCATTTCTCTCTGCTCCCTGACTGCAGACACAATATAAAAACCTTCTTCAAGCTCCTGCCACCATGCCTTCATGCTACAATGGATGTTAGTAGTCAGGAAGCAGAGAACCAAAGCTGAAACTGTGTCACACTGTAAGCCATAAGCCCCACCCCCATAGTTTTATGATTATTATCTAGGTCTCATGTCCAGAAGGTTCCACAACCTCCCCAAACAGTACCACCAGCTGAGGACCAACTGGTTCAAACACAAGGGTTTGTAGGGGGGACATTTCCCATTCAGACATAACAGTAACATTCCCGAAACAATGTCTAGCTAACATTTTAAATAAAAACTATTAGGGAATATAAGAAAAGCCTTTTATCAGCTATGAAGTTAATGTTGTGAGAACAGCGATATCATAGGCTGACTGATTGTGCTAAGATAACTTCACTTACTGAAAACCTAACCCCACTAGTATGCTTACTAGGAAGTGAAGCTTTGGAAAATAACTAGGTAGTAAAGCCCTTGGGAATGAGATGAGGGTTATTATGTAAAGCACCCCCAAAGAGGTATTTTTCCCATGTGAATTAGCAGTCAGCAATACGGAATAGTGCACTAACCAGAACCCAATCATGCTGATGCCCTCATCTCAAATGTGAAATCTGCACAACTGATGGAAAGCCAGTTTCAATGATCTGTAAGCCAGTTTGACTGCTGCTCAAAGCAACCAAGACAAGAGACAATCTCTAACTGACCCTGTCACACTTGTGGGTGTCAGTATTTTAGATATTTATCCTCATGCCTCACTTTTTCCTACAAAGGTATCCCAGTCACAAAATAGGTTCCATGTAACAAAATTAAATTGTCTTTGGCCAACTTGTTCTAATTTCTATTGTGTCCATATTAAATTATGTCATGACGTGCTTGTCATGACGTGCTGTTTTGGTAAATTCCTTAGAAATTGAAACTATCCCACCCTGCAAGGTTAACTAAAGTGGTACTTAACAACATTAATATAAACTGTACTTAAGGAAGGATGGTGCTTTGAAGGCTTTTCTTCTTTATATGTAAATGGATCCTCCTTCCCTCTCTCCTCCCTGTCTGTGTAGTTGCACCTGTTCATGTATATGAGTGTATGTGGAGACAACTTCGGTATCGTCTACCTTGACATTTTGAGAGAGGGTCCCTCACTGAGACCTAGGGATCCTCTGATTATGATAGGCTGGCTGGCCATCGAGCCCTCTGTCAAGCCCCCTCTCCACCTGCCAGCATTGGGATTATAAGCACATTCTACTACACCTGGCTTTTTGTTTCACTAATGTTATGAGGGCTCCTCTGAGTCCTCATGAAGAAAGCACTTTACCAAGGGGGCTTTCTTCTCAGGCCTTATGTTCTTATATTTGTATAGTCTCCAGTTGTTCACATATAAATGTCATGAGATGCTTTATACTGATGATGGACAGAGGATGCTATGGGCTGATCAAAAGAGACAATGGGATTTTAGATGTAGTGAGACTGTTAAACTTGTTCTGTTCAGGAGAATTAATAAAAGATACTAATAGATACTTGGATCTTTTTCTTCTGAGACTCAAATAAGATAGAATTATTATCTTAATATGAACATTGCTTCCCTATTGATTTTTCCAGAAGATTTTTCAAAAAAAAAAAGAAATGTAAAAAACAATCAATGCAGATAAAAACTTCCATATTATAATTCTGGTTTCCTGTATAGATTTATTACACATTTGTCATGTAAAATGAAGAAATTTTATTCATTCCTTTTAAGATGTACGCCAATGATAATTAACAAATACTCCAAAGTCTTTTCATTTCAATGGATACATTTTAAATGGTTAAGAAATAAAAGGAATTTGAAAACTATCACATCAAAACCTTAAAAGTAAGTATTATAGGCAATGTTTGTAAAAGTCAGAGGGGGAGTACGTGAGAGGGTTTGGAGGGAGGAAAAAGAAGAAGAAATTATGTAATTATATTATAATCTCAAAATATATTTTAAAAAGTAATTGTAAAAGAATGATTAATGTAATCACAATGTAATCTAACCCCATAGCCATGCCTATATCATCAATTTCACCAGCATCCTAATGTCAGGTATAGTAGTAAATGTTCTTAGGGCTTGAAAAGTAGGTATGATAGGCTGACTTCTAAGACTGACCATGTAATCTAACTCTCTGGTATTGGTGATCTGTGATAAAGATGGCAAGCTGTCCCTGAATTTTAGTTCAAGGAAATGATTAATGACTGACTCAGACAATCGTTTATCTTGATCAAACTATTTTCTCTTAGCTCATGTGCTCTTAAGTCTGTTATCCTGATTTTCCATAGCTTTCCCTGGACCCAAGTTACTTGTTCCCTGGAACTGGTAGAATCTATGGTTGATTTTTATCAACTAGAATACTGCTGCACTGGTATGCTAGCATTTACCTGATTAGCTTCCAAAAGACTGACTCTTGTTATAGACTTCTGTGTCCACTCTTGCTGACATTGATGAAGCAAGCTGCCTTGGGAGAGAAGTCCACAGAGCAGGCAGCTGACAGCAGTCTTTGGCTAACATGTAGGAGAAACTGAATCTTAAGGACAATTGCATGGGTGTGAGCTTGTAAGTGGATTTCAGAATGAAGCTTCCTAGAGAGCCCCATGCTTTTTCGTTACTCTCATGCCCACCTTTTCTTCTCTCTCCCCGAACACTGCCAACCTACCTACCCAATTCCTTACAAGATCCTCTCTCATGTTCAGTGCTTTTGTGCAGGCCCACCTCAGGCAACCATACTTGCTATCCGATCATGTTTGCGGTGGCTGTGTCATGCCCAGAAGATAGCATATTCAGCCCTTCTCCATGTCTCCCAGCTCATATACCCTTTCAGCCCCTTCTTCCACAAAGTTACTTCATCCTTATAGGAGGTGGGAAAAGAGTCCAGTTTAGGGCTGAGTATGCAATTGCCACTTTTTCATGACACCTCGAGCAGCCATGAGTCCTGCACTCACCACAGTTCATTGCCAAGAAGCTGTGTGTTTTTTACGATGGCATGGAGACATGATTTCCTAGCATTAGTATTGTCTAATGGAATCAATGTACAAATTGTTATACCGTGAATCATTTTCAGTCAAGACCACGTTTTTCAGACTTTGCCAAAATAAGTGTTCTGCTTTGGGGTTGTCAGGCCACTGGAGAATGGAGCTCTTACAGATTCGCTGCCGCAGCCTCAGATACTGTGAGTACTGTAACACGGGCTCAAGGAGGATGAAGATAATCACATCCATGTTCTCATCCATTAGCCTCTGCAAGGCCAAGTAAAAAGCTGTTTTAAAGTTCCAGCTCTTGGCATATTTTTTGGTTAAAACAAAGATTGTTTTCTTGCTCTGGTTTATGCTTTGCATGAGGTTATCAATGATGGCTAATCCTGGATCCCAATCCCTCTCCTCTAAGCAAAGGAGGACATTTTTGTCTTCACTCTCTTCAAGGTGGTAGCGCAGCTCATTGATTACCCAGTCTGTAACAGATACATCTTTGGTGTCATAAGAAATGTAAGCATCATAGAAAGTTCGGGATGTATCCAAAGACCTGTAGCCTCTTAACTTAGCTGAACAGATGTGATAGATAAACCAAACATCCCAGTAAAACAGATGATGAACCAGGGCAGCCAACATAACCATGGAGGTGATAAGGAATGTGAGGGAAAACAGGATGGCTGCAGTGGTGTCTGAAAGACAAGTCATGAGCTCTAGACTCATGATACTCTTCCCTGTTTGATCCCCAGGACTGGTACAAATAACATCTACTAATCTAGGAATTGTGATATGCACATTTTCATCTATCCAGCTTCGAAAATCACTTATGTCGCACGTGCAGTCAAAATGGTTCCCACTTAGTTCCAGAACGGACAAGTTTGTTTTAGTCTTGGTTTGCAGGGAGGATTTATTGATCATCCTTATCACATTGAAACTTAGATCCAGGTGCACAAGACTACTGGCTTCAGAGAGGAAGCCAGAGGGCAGATGAGCAAACTTATTGTGGCTGAGCAGCAGTGTCTGCAGGGATTGTGTAAACTTAGATAGGCAATTGGTTAGGAAATACAGCTTGTTTTCTCGTAAGTCCAACAAATGGAGCTGAGGAAAATGATGGAGGGATGTCCAATTAAAGAAATGCAACCTGTTACCATTGATATGTAACTCTCTGAGGCTCTGGGGCAAGCTGAGGAATGCTTCATTTGGGATTTGTTGAAGGTTATTGTAAGATAAGTCCAGGCGTGTCAGATTCCAGAGACTTCTAAAAATGGTCCAGTAGCTTGTATCATCTGCATTCCACAAAAGGTCAAGGCGGTTTCTGCTGAAAACCAATTCTTTCAGGGACATGCTTTTCAGCTCTCTGTCATCTGTGAGAGTGTAAATGCCATTGTAGCTCAGGTTTAACACCTTGAGATTTATTAAGTTCTGGATAAATCCTAGACGGTGTGTTACCCCCGCTATACGGAAATAGTGTGCATTGTGGCTCAGGTCGAGCACTTCTAGGTTGCGAAGTTCATTGAAAGCCTTGTTATCATCAAAGTCTAGTCTGTTGTTTGATAAATCCAAATATCTAATGTGGGGCATGGCTGAGAATTCTGTGCCATTCAACACTTGAGTGTTGGCATTGAAGGACAGATTTAAGCAGGCAATGTCATGAAAACCTTCAAATTGTTTTTTCCCAATAACAAAAATATTGTTCAAACTTAAATCCAAGGCTTTGCCATAAGTAGTACACTGTGGCTTTATTAAAGGTTTGGTGCTACGATAAAAAGTCGAGTGTGGATCAAACTCGGTGATCATTGAGCGACGTTTATGGATATGATATGGCAAAGAGGAGCCATCTGTACTATCTTCTCTGGGTGATATACGGTTTTCTGACAAATAAATAACTTTCAGGTTGGGAAAGTCTTGGAAAACTTTAAAATCAATTTTCATGATAAAGTTAATACCCAAGTTGATAGTCGTTAAGTTTGGAAGACTCTGGAGGGGTTTGAAATGTTCCTGTTTAAGTTCTCGGAATATATAGCCCTTTAAGTGCAATGTCTTGAGAGACTGAAGCATAGAGAAGTTTGGGGAAATAGTAATAGATTGTAAATATTTTTTATATTGAAAGTTGAAAGACAGGTCAAGGATTTGTAAATTGGGTAGTTTTGTTAAAAATTCTCCTGAGGCAATTTCTTGCAGTAAATAGTTAAATTCAAGTCGGAGTTCCTTCAGATTTGTCAGATTGTTGAACCAGGTGGAAGGAATTGTTTGGAGGGAAGTGCTGGAGAGGTTTAGATAGCGAAGTTGGGTGAGACTTTGAAAAGCAAGAGGATGTATGTAGATGGAAGCATTTCCATTGCAAGGTATGCAATTAAAAGGGGCATTGAAACACCTCGGACAGTTTCCACTCAAATCCAGTAATGTTAACTGTTCCAGTCCCTTGAAGTCTTCCTCAGTGATATTCACGATCTTGGCATTGCTCAGAAAAAGTTTTCTTATGGAGTTTGGTAATTTGGGAGGCACGTGGATGAGTCTGTTGAAAGATAATGAGAGCACCTTCAAGTGTGTAAGGGTTTCAAAGGCCCCATCTTCCACGCTAAAGTTTTGATTACAATAAAAATAGCAGTTCCAGCCCAAATAGAGTATTTCCAAGTTGCTAAGCCCCAAAGTGTTGTTTTTAGTTACCATAACTATATTGTTTTGAATGAGGCTAAGTTCTGTCAAAGACTCAGGCAAGCCAGCAGGCATGGTGTATAATTGGTTGTCTTCAAGCAGTAACATCTTTAGATTTGTTAGGTTGAGGAATGCCCCATCTGTAATATTCATACCATTTTTATTTTCATTTGGGTGCTGTTGATTGGCATTGTGGTTCAGATTTATTTTAGTGAGGTTTTGCAGTTCTTGAAAGGACTCGTTTGTTACATTCATGATGGAATTGTGAGACAGGTCTATTTCTGTCACATATTTGCCTATAGTTGGGGGAACTTCTTGTAGCCGACGATCACTGCATTCTGCAACCACAAGGCCATTTTTCCTTTTCTCATCACAGGGATAGCTTCTGGAATAATTTGTTTTGAAGAACTCTCCGGTTCCAGAGGTGAGCAGGCAAAAGTAGGTCAGAATCCAGGACTGAAGGGACATGTTTTCCTAAAGAAAACCAAAAGTGGAAGAGCATTAGAGTGACAACATTTTCTGGGTGTTGCTTGGTGAAATTAGCAGTGTTCCATCATACTTATACAAGCTTTGATGTGTGAAATACTACAAATAGGTCAATACATTGCATCAAGTGAGTTTCAGAATATTTGTATGTTTTTAGCTTCCAGAGGGCTAAAAATGTTAAAGATGAAATTCTCTGAGACAGCAAGTTTTTGAAGAGACATTAATCAAGATGCTCTCCCCTCCATCACCACATTGAGTCTGAGAAGAAGCATGGTTGTGGCTAATGCAAAGTCTATGGCACATCATGACATATATTTTTATCAATGAACTATTTGTATAACTATTCTTTGGCATGTGCAGTGTGCATGTATGTGTGTAGGTGCATGCATGTGGACATGTATGTATTAGTGTGCATGCAAGCATTTGAAAGTCAGACATTAACACAAATTTTCTTCCCCAATCACTGCCCACTTTATGTACTGAGGTGAGAGCTCTCACAAACCACAGGGCTTACGGGTTTGACTAGTCTAGATAGCCAGCTTGCTTTAGAGATCCATTGTGTCAGTCTCCCAAAAGCTGGGATTACAGGCAGGCTACCACACTTACCCAGTTTATATGTGGATTCTGGGGGCTCTGAATTTGGGTTCTCACACAACACAGCAAGTGCTTTTTACACTGAGTTGTTTCCCAGTCCTTTTTGGAATAACTCTTGATAAAACTTTGTCCAGTTCCCAAGAAGAACTCAAGTCCTGTATCCATTGTATCATCCAAGACACTTAAGTCAAAGTCATCACCTGCTTTTCATAGTTCTTGCAATTATTTCCTCTGGGTTTTTTTTTTGTTCCTCTGCAGTGATAATACATTTTCTCATAGTTCTGTACATTGCTATAAACAACAATTACTATAAACAACAATTTTCCTCAAAAAATAAAAAAAATGAAAAGAAAAACAATTTTCTTAACATTTCTCATGTTAAATTTGTGATTTCATTTTCTCACATAAAAATATCTTTCCCCACTAGAACTGTTTTGGCATAAAGTATGAAATGTAAACTATTATTCTTTTCTTTTTGTTTTGTTTTTTTGAGACTGTGTAGCCCTGGATGTCCTGGAACTCGCTCTGTAGACCAGGTTGACCATGAACTCAGATCCAACTGCCTCTGTTTCCCAAGTACTGAGATTGAAGGTGTGGGCTACCATCACTCGTCAAATTATTCTTTTCTAAATGGAAACACAGTTATTTCAGAATCAATGGCCGAATCACCTGATCTCTGCTTTGCTTTGCTCAGTGTTCCATGTACAACTTTCTTGCACATTTGACTCCATTTTCAGGCTCGCTGATCTGTTTCATTTGTTCATTTATATTTAATAGGTTCTTATTGTGTAGAACCTTCTTATGAATGCAACCCAATAGAAAACAGACAAAAATATATTAACAATAAAAATTAATGAGTAGATGCTTATGTGTATAGATATTTTGACTGCACGTGTGTCTTTGCACCATATGTGCCTGGTACCCTAGGAGGCCAGAATAGGGCATTGGGTCCCGTGGAACTGGAGCTACTGATGATTGTGAGCCACCATATATGTGATGGGAATTGAATCTGGGTGGTCTGGAAGAGTTCTGTCAACCCTTGTGAATACTTCTTAAGCATAGAAAAACATACTCAGTCTCACTCAATAAATTATACTGATCCCAGTTTTAAATAATATCAATTGTGCAGCTTGACATGTTGTGAAACAGGAAGCCTCAAATTTTTCTGGTAGAAATAGAAGTCAATGCTACATCTAAGATGGACAGCAGTTTTCAACACCTTTCAAAAACTAGAAATGTATACTTGGAATTAGCAATTTCAATTCTAGAAGTAGAACCTGAAGACATAGCTACATATGCCAATATCTATGTAGAAATACGTTCTAAGCAAAACATTTAGCAAGAGCAAAATATTGGAAAAATCTAAATCTCTATGAATAGAGGACTGGTTGTAGTGCTACCACAGAATACTGTCTAGCAATGGAAAAAATATAAGAAAATTTTTATAATCATTCATTTAGCAAATATTTATTGGGTGTGTATTTAATTTCAGGAACTGTTTAAAAAACTCAACACTGAAAAATCATTAAGGAAAATACCAACCTCTCTGATGTCTATACTGAAAGTTAGATAGAACATTAGACAGGAAGGTAGTAAAGAAGACAGAGAGTTATATAGAAGGTCCTTCTTTTTGTTATGATTAGACTAAGGTTGTAAGTTTTGGAAGAAAGACATCATAGAAGTATAATGTGTCATTCTAGTAAGACCAAGACTACATGCTATCAACATGACTTCCCCAGTTGATGAAGACCTTGGTCATCTCACTGAGAGAGTGTTGGTAAGGTTCTTATTACAACTTTTAACTACAAAACAAAAAAAACCACATTAATTTGTAAAAGGACTATGGGAAACATGTATCATGGTAAAAATCTGAATCCAAGATATTTTAAATTATTTGCAAACTAATAGAGCTATTGATGGGCAAGACACCCTTTGTGAATCAAGAATCAGACTCCATCTGCTGTGGCCCTTCTTCCTCAAATTAAGATTGCCACACCTAGTTTCAACTATAATTTCATACAAATAGAGCAATTCAGCATGAAAAGCTCTATGAACTTCTGTTCCCAACAGAGGAGTCTGTGGAGAGTTGTTCAATGTTCCTTCACGATGAAACCATTTTCTCATATAGTCTAAAGTACCGGGAAATGAACAGAACTGAGGGAGTAGCCTGAAGTTTCTAAAACTAGTCTTCTAAAATGGCACTGAGACAAGAATGTGAGTGGACAAGTTCCAAATAGCTGAAATTTGAAAAGTGCATCAAATGGTGAGTAGTGGACAGCAAAGAAGTTGAGGAGAAATGGTTGATTCATCAGTGCTCAGGCCTTGACATTCCACACAGGCCCTCACAGAGCTTCTATCCATTGCTGTCTTAGTTACTGTCTATTGCTGTGAAGAGAAACCACGACTAAGGCAGCTTATATAACAAAAGGCATTTAGTTGAAGGCTTGCTTACAGTTCCAGAGCATTGGTCCATGGTTACCATAGTGGAGAGCATGGCAGCAAGCAAGCATACCTGGTGCTGGAGCAGTATAGTAGCTGAGAGCTCACATTTGATACAAAGGCTGAAATGGGGTGAGACTGGACCTGGTGTGGACTTTTGGAACCCCAAAGTCCACCCCTAGTGATACACTCCCTCCTAGAAGGCCACACCTCCTAACCCTTCCAAAATAATCTACCAACTTGGAATCAAATATTCAGATTTATGATACTCGTTCAAACCACCACAACTGCTAATGCTTATTTCCCAAGGTACTCAGCTGAAGTCCAGGGAATATCTTCAAACACTCCCTGGCAGAACATTCCGCATTCACCTAGATTTCAGAATGGCAGAGAGTGTAGACACAAAAAACCAAAATAAACAACAAACAAACCAAAAGCCAAACCAAACCAAACCAAAAACCTAGCAAAGGCTACATTTCTTCAGTAAAGTGTTATTGTAAGGATAGCAAATAGAAGCTGAATCCCAGATGAAGTAAGGTAGACTTCTTTCCTCTCTCTTCTTTCTTCTCTCTCTCCTCTCTTGTCCTCTTGTTGGGAGATGTCATTTTGTAAATATGTTTCTTTTATTGGTTAATGAATAAAGTACTCTTGGCAAATAAGAAGGCAAGATGGGGGTGGAACTAGGAGATAAGCGGTATTCTGGGAGATGTAGTGAAGGGGAGTCATGCTGTAGGGACTTGAGAAGAAGGTCTGGACCCTCTCTCCAGTAAGATAAGACCACATGGAAATACTTAGATTAATAGAAATGGGTTAATATTTAAGATGGAGTTAGCCAATAAGAAGCTCTGGCCATTGGTCAACAGCTTTATATCTATACAGCATCTCTGTGTGTTATTTGGGGCTGATGTGGCTGTGGGATCTGGCTGGTGGGAAAACCACTCATAACATCATCTTTCTTTTATCCTTCCATCCTCATCTTCTTCCTAGACTCTTTGATCCATTTCATTTGACTTACTGTGCTTGATACATACTTAATATGTAGAGCCTTTTTATGAACACAGCTAAGTAGGACATGGGCCTAAATATATCTCCTTTTTCCTATTCCTCTTCTTTCTCTCCTCCTTCCCCATTCCTCCCCTCCCCTCCTTCTGTTATCTCTTCTCTCCTCACAACCACCTATAACTCCAGTTCTAGGAGATCTGGTATCTTGTTCTAGCCTCCAGGGATACCTGCACTCACATGCACATAACCCCCCCCCCACAAGTATACATAACTTAAAACAAAATAAATATTTAAAAAATAAACTATAAATCAGGCTTGATGTTGTGGCATGCACATGTAATCCTGGCATTCAGTGATACAGAGTAAGAACCTATCTCAAAACAAAAGAAAATTAGAAAAATCAGCAAGTGTCAGCCCTCAACCCATATTTGCTTGTGTGCAGAAAGTTCTGTTGAAACTGCAACCAGACTGAGGGGAACAAGGGAGACCTTGCTCTTATTAAAGATGCATTTTCGTCCATCATGGCTTTTCATTAATCAAGTTTTGTTTTCAAGGTTCTCTATCATTTTGCAGTTATGTCACGTGTCTACCTAGCCTCACCTTGAGCCATGCCTACTTCCCCAAAGTGAGTCCATGCATCTTCCTGCCTGGCGTGCTGAGGTGAATGATCATTAGTGAGACAAATGCCAGAGTTCCCAGAGCTGATCCTGGAATGAGCATGGTTCCTGTGCTCCACAAATGGAGCATTCTTTAACCCTCCATCCCTCCTGTTCCCTTTATGGTAGTTCATCCTGGCCTTGACTTTTGTCTAAGGGGTGGAACAAGGACAGTCTAACACACACACACACACACACACACACACACACACACACACACACACATGTTTTACACACAGATGTTTTGCCTGTTTGTATATCTGTCTATCACTTCCATTCAGTGTCTAAGGAAGCCAG